CAGACCTCAGATGAGCCCAGACGCTCTGCGGCTCTTGTTATTATATAATTATTCAATATAATTAGTTCAATATAAGCGAACGATCGTTTTCTGCATTGCGACGACTAAAAACATATCTGCGCTCTACAATGACGCAACTGCGTCTAAATAACGTGATGCTGCTTAAAGTGATTACGTCACCGTAAATAGTAATAAAAAAAAGTCACAAAATATAAGTAATTTTGTTCACTTTTTATGGTTAAATTGCTGCATTATACTTCTTATTTTACTATATTGTTCGATGTGAACATACACTCGTGACTCATACATAGCCCATAGCAAGCAATTAATGTCAGGAACACTAATATCAAATCAAATTTTTAGGTTTGAATCTAAATTACCAATCTTATCAGGTAAGAATTTGACGATACGTTTAGTCCCGTTAGTTCTTACTTTTAATGTAAAAAATTGCAATAAAAATTTAATAAATTTTACCATAGAATATTCGTGACGTTGTCAATTTAAAGTATCTTCATGTAACCTGATAATTATTAACGAGAGTTAAATATATGAAACGAACTATATGCAATTATGAAACTGGACCAAATATTCCTGTGCGATGATCGTAATTTTTTTATAAACCTATCAACTGCTTTCTCCAAGTCCAAATTGTCCAATTTCTCTTTGTGCACGTTAAAGAACAAAAATTTGACATGTAAATTGGCAGATGCCGAAATAATTAGGCCTATACTGAAGTATAAATATATATTTGTTAGAGTTTTGAAAAGTATTTTTAAGCTCTAAAAAGGCATCTTGGTGTATTAAATTTTAAAAATTTCCCCCAAACCCCCCTTTGATGAGGGGGAAACCCCTCGTAGAGCTCCCCCGCCACGGCTGCGCCGTGGGCACCTGGCCAGGAGTGTCATGTTTATAAACATTGACGTCATATGCGCACATGCGCAGTTTAATTGTTGGTAGGCAGCAAGCAGATGCGTGATATTGTTCGATACAAGCACACGCACGCACGCACGCACGTCTATATGCACATGCATGCACGCACGCACGCACGGGCTGTACCTGGCACACACACTCACGTTACGCACTTGCACACATGCACACACGCTGTATCTGCACACGCACCCCACGCAGCTAACGCTATATCGTAACGCTGTACCTGCACAGCGCGCGACACCCACCACGACGTGTACGGTGCACAGCACACGGACGCACGCACGTGTAGTTCCTACGCACGTCACGCGGCAGTCGTTACGTACACCACGGCACGCACACACATCACACTACGACGCACGCACGTGTGTAAGTTTTCACACGCACGCACTCGCGCCACGTGTACGTACACTACGCCGCACGCGCGCACGTTGTATTGCACACGGCCCATCGCACGCACGTGTCTTAGCACACCGCACGCACACATCTCATGCACGCAGGTACGTGCACAGCATTGCACGCACGTGTAGGCACGACGCATGCACGCCACGTTGTACTGGTGCTCACATCGGATGCACGCACGTTTCGTTTGTACCGTGCACACGCACGCACGGCACGCACGCACGTCTTTACGTGGCACTATGCACACGCGTGCGCACCACGCACGCACGGTGTACGTTTGCACAGTCACACGGTACGCACGCACGTGTACGCTGCCACACGGCTATCGACACACACCTTCATGCACGGCACGTGCTACGTGCCCACACGCTACGCACGCATGCAGGCACGTCTCGTGCACCGCACGTCACTGCACGGGCACGCTACGCTCGTCTACTGTGCACATCACACCTACGTTGTACCTGCACACTGCACGCACTGCCGCACGCAACGCACGTCATGCACGCAGCGTGTGCGTGTTACGTGCACACGCACGCATGCACGCCAGGTGTACGTGCACACGCATCGCACGCACGTCTATATGTGTTGCATACGCTACGCTCGCACGCACTGTGTACGTGCACACGCACGCATTCACGTGTACGTGCACACACACGCACGCACGCTACGCACCGTGTACGGTGAACACGCTTCGCACTTCACAACGCTGACGGCAGGCACGCAGTGTACGTTCACACGCACGCACGCACCGCACGCACGCCACGGGCATGTTACGCACGTGGGTAAGTGCACACGCATCGCCACGCACGCACTAACCCTACGTGTACGTACACACGCACGCACGACACGCCGTTACTTGTCATCTACGCACGCACGCACTGCGCGCACGTCGTATCGTGCACACGCACACATGCACGCACCGTGTTACGCATCGCACGACGACGTATACGTGCAGCACGCACACAAGCACGCACAACGCACGCACGCCACACACGCCACGCAAGCCGCACGTGTACGTGCACAGGGCACTGTAGGGGTCCTTACGTTGTTCACGCCGGCGCTACGCTTCGGCACTGCCCGCACGTGTACACGTGCACACAAAACGCGAAACACGGCACGCAACATAACACAGCACGCACGCACGCATGTGTACGTGCACACGCACGCACCGTGTACGTTGCCACGAACGCACGGCCGCCACACATCGCATCGCATGCCGCACGCGTACGTGCACACAACACCGACACGCAACGCCACGCAACGCCGCACGTGTACGTGCACACGCACGCATGAACGCACGTGTACGTGCACACGCACGCATGCACGCACGTGTACGTGCACACGCACGCAGTACGCACGTGTACGTGCACACGCACGCACGCAGTACGCACGTGTACGTGCACTACATAAACAGCGCTTTCTATCAGAACATGTGGTCATTCATCTGTAAATGTCAAGCAGCACGCTTCGCTTCTGCCAACCATGACACATAACAAATACACGTGACCTGATCTATGACGTCAGGTGAAACATTCCTATTGATATGATGCTAAATGGCCTGACCAATGTTTATTTGCTTCCGCCGGCCCTGATTATAGTAATAACGACGTTACCGACACCGGGCCGCGCAAGTCTGTTGCCGCATGCTTGCCAATTTACGGGGGAACGAAACGGGAAAGCCACGTACCATGCTGTGATGAAGCGCCATCTTGAATTTCTCAAAGTAGAGCCACTGCGCCGCCTCCTTCGGATCCAGATCGTGAAAGAAGTCCCTCGCCGCGTAGCCGAACGAGTGGAACTTTCCCTCGGGCGTGAGCAGCACGGTGGTCGGTGTCTTCTGATTGACGATACCTGGGTCGCCGCCCTCCCACTTGCGCATCATGTGGATGCTGTCGGCGTCCTTGGTGAAGCTGAAAGCGTAGCCGCTGTAGGTCGTGCCAAAGTCGATGGCGACGACGACAAAGTGGCCGGTCTGGTGCGAGTCGTGGCCGGAATCGATGGAGCTAGAACTGGACGTCGCGCCACGGGAGTCGTGATGTATGTCCGCACTCACCTGCGACAGACAGACAGGGACTCGAATGAATGCACTGTGTGTCCACGTAATGTATATTAACGGACAGGCAGTGACTTGAATGCACGACGAAACCAGTGGCTGAACATTTCACAATCGAACACATTGAACACTAGATCTAACACGTACCCAGTCTACGCCCTGTTCCAGAATATATCTCACACTTACCCAGTCCACGCCCTGCTGTGGGATGACTTCAATAGACTCGTCCTGCGTGTAAACGCTGGCCGTGTCCGGCGACGACATCGCCTCACTCCATGTGCCCTCCCGGCCTGGATCAACACACGACTCCTCTAACTGGTCAATGACGGTGGCGGGATCGCTCCGCGGGATAGCGGCCGGCTTGAAGTCGATCTCCTGGTAGTCGTTGCTAGGCAGGCGCTGGTCGTCGGGGAGTTCAGTGTCGGACGCGCTGTCGCTGCGTGTCCTTGATGTAGCGGCGGCGGGGGTGATGGTTGGGTCGTGACTACCTGCAAGCGCGTGTCACGCGTGTATGTAGTGTGGCATGTCGTATCTCGGCACGTTACGGCACGTCACGTCATGCCATGCCGGATTATGCCACACCACATGACACGATCCCATGTCACACCACATCGCACCGCGCCGCACCACACTGTACAACACCGCACCGCACCGCACTGCACCGCACTGCACCACACCGCACTGCATAACGACATGCCACACCACACCATACCATGACACACCACACAACAGTGCATGACACCATACCATGCCAAGGTTCTCTCCCCACTACATGACAGCACACCATGCCACGCCACGTCACACCACACCACAGCAACACGCATCGCATCTTACTTCACCACACCACATCACACTGGATGACCCCACACCACGCCACACCGCACCACACCACACAGCGTTTCACCATGCCACGTCATGCCACATCACCAGATCCCATGGCATCGCACCACAACACACCACATCATATGACGCTGCCACGCCACACCACACCAGCCCAGAGCACATCACACATCACTCTCTCGTCATCGCTATCACTCGTTAATTCCACTTTTCTCGATCTAACTTGCGACAAGCATTTCTAACAAATTGCCTCTATACTGGCTCAATCTGCCTGACTGGCACGTACGTACCCTCAGCTTGAGGTGCTATCCGCGTCTGCTTGCTAGATTTGTCAACGACACTGTACACTGCTTCCTCGCGACACGGACTAGGTGTCTTCTGTGTCCTGCTCACCCCGACATAGCAAGCCTTGTCTTCACCTTCATTGAGTACAGCCTCTGAAACAGGCGAGAAACAATTGGATTGATGCCAGTCGGAACTAGGCGCATCATTCGTGTGTCCTGGAATGTTTATAGTCATGTTTGTAAGATTTTTAAGAGACGTAGAGCGCAGAGACGTTGCTCGGTGTTGTGGTATCTACAATTCAGGAGCCCGTTGCCAGAAACAAAATTAGTCTTCAGAAAACAATACAACGGACCCAAGATCAACGAAACTGGAATCATCCCCGCTTCTAGTTTATCGGGAAAATTTTTAGCGCAGTTCACTGACACACGTTAGTCCGCACAGAACTGCAATTGCCCAACACCAGCGAGCATACAACGCAGTAGACACGTACATTAGGATCCACGTTTTAGCATGACACGCGCAAGCTCGGTGGTGCACACGCGCACGCGTCCCACTCTCAATATAGTTATCATAAATTACCTCTCCGATTCCAGCGACTGCCCAGGGCACTTTGCAATTATACTGCTGCTGTGATAATGAGCCTTTACAATGTTACTGATTGTGTGCCAAAGATCCTACAGGCAAATCTAACAGGCCAATCTTCTGTACATTATTGACTCATGTACCGTTAATTAACGTTATTGATTAAGAAATACATAGAAGCCACAGTTAAATGAATCATTAATCAATCACATTCAATAAAAAGGTATTAAAACTGACAATGTGTCTAAAACAGAATTCCTGCACTATGCCTAGCCCCAAGAATATTCTCTCACTTACCTCTGTTCTCTAGTATGAAACTTCACGCAAATACGAACCCAACTAATGCCACATTGGTAGCATAAAACAAGTATACAGTTCACAATATAGTAAAAACAAGAGCATCTAACGGTATTCTAACCTACTTCTGCTTGGAAGATGAACGTTACCTGGTCTGCTTGCTTTCGTAGAGATATCTTGCCTATTCGGCATGCTGACCGTTGGTTTCCCATCCCCATCATCATCTGCACTGCCATCAAACATGTCGTATACGCCTGCTCCATAGCTGGCACTGGAATTACCACTCCCCACAGTCGAAACAGGAGCGGCGGGAGAGTTTCCCCCGACACTCTCCTCCCTAGATCTCGTTCCAGAACCGGGAGACTTCCCCGACTCACCGGAGTCCACGCCGACATCTTCGAATTTTGTACGTGTCAATTCGAACTGCGGAAGCGACATCAGGCGCCGACTAACCGCCACATAGTTCCGCGGGGGAGGAGCGGAAGGGTTCCCCGGTATCTGCACAGGTGAAGATACGTCTGCGCAAGGCTTCCGTGCATCGTCGTCGTCGCGGGGCGGCAGCCGACACGATCCGTCGCGTGTCTCCCCCGCCACCTCGTCGCCGACGTACGACGACGTCACCTCCAGTTCCTCGTAGTCTCTCTCGCTCTGCACCACGCGCTCCGGGGACCGTGACGGGTGGGGCGGGGTAGGGTCGGGGTCGTCGCCGCGCGGCTCGGGCGTGGCCTCGCGCGACGTGATGATCGCCTGCACCGCCCGCATCTTCTCGTTTGCTGTCATCCGACTGATCGCCTTCTCGCTGAGAGGCACCTCCTGGGTGACGGCGGGGTCCCTCCTCGGCGGGTCCGCGTGCTCTCGCGCGGCTCTCACCTTCTCATATGCCCTCATCTCCTGGAACAGTCTGTCGGCTATCTCCCCGCCGGCTTTCACGGGTATGACGTCCAGTGGTGTTGCCACACCAGACGCTGCCTCGCTGTGTCGCGTCGCTGCGGTGCTGTCATGCGTCGCTGCTGGGGTGTTTCGAATCATCATGGCATCTCGCGTCACTGCTGCGCTGTATCGCGTAGCTGCCTCACTGTCTCGCGTTACCATAGCGTCTCGCGTCGCTGCCACGTTGTCTCGCGTCGCTGCCGACGCCGTGTCTCGAGTCTGTACCACGACATCTCGCGCCGTCGCCGCCGTCTCAGGCTGCGTCGCGGAAACCTCCTTGCTTCTCTTATCCTCGTCCTCGTACTGACTCGCGAGCGTCCTCACCTTACCCGCGCAGTGCGGGATGTCCCCTGGCAGCGTCTTTGCCAACGCCTTCGTCACCACGGCTCCGGAGGAAGCGGGAGAGCTGAGAACGCGCGTGAGTTCTTTCGCTCGCTGAAACCTGTAGCCTTTATCCGGCGGTGCGTTGTCGCCGTCTGCCGGAACAAAGTCGATGATGATCTCGACATCGTCGCGGACGCCGTTTGTTTTAGCCGACGAGCTAGTCTTCGGCGCCGCAGCTCGGTTAGCCTCAGCCTTAGTCTTACTCGAGGTTCTGTCGGTGGGATCGGGGTCGTCGCTCGCTCTGTCGCGCACGACGAGCGACCTGACCTCGGCTCGAGCTGGCGATGCGGCGGCTTTCGCGGCGACGGCACGTCTCATCCCCGCCTCGTCGTCGCATGGGCTAACAGCGGCAGCGACCTCTGTGACTCCGCCGGCCGACGTGTATTCCGGTGGCGGCGTGTACAAACGCGGCGCGTCGACGAATTCGAAATCCTCCACCGGCTCGCCTTCCTTCATTCGCTGACAGGGGGCGCCGCCGTCCGCTCGTCCTGCTGGTGACGATTTCACTTCCCTCGGCGACGAAACAGCGGTGTCGTCGGGGACGGAGGCGCGGCGAGGGGAAGGCAGATTGTTGCTATTCCTACCGCTAATGGGTGGCGCCTCTTGGTCGATGCGACTGATCGCTTGTCTAGGCACGGGGTATTTGCTCGGGTATCCGCTTACACCGAGGGCATCCTTACTAGCCGTCCATCGACCGTCGCTGAGGTAGTCGTGGGGGCCGATCTCGGCTTTGGTGGCCATCTCTTCTCGCAAGGCGACAACGTCCTTAGACGTTCTCTCGCCGGGTACTGCAGGGTACGTGTCTGTGTCGCCCCCACGTGGAGTGAAGGGAGAGCGGTCGGGTGGCTTGGTCGTGTGTTGGGTGTTAGCGTGTGTGTTGTCGGTCTCTGCGCGGTGCTCACACGCGCCACAGTTGACCCCACAGCATCGCTTTGTTCGACCTGTCAGTATATTCCTCTGTGTTTCCGTGTAACTCGGCGGGAGATGGCCTCTCGTGCCTCCTCCTCCTCCTCCTCCCTCCTTGATTAATGACTCACTCTTGCCTCCTCCTCTTCCCTCAGCAGAAAGTGCCTCCCCCCGGCCTCCTCCTACTCCGTCCTTGATTAGGGGTTCCCTCCTGCCTCCTTCCTCGTCGTCTAGTGTCTCTCTCGGCTGTGCAATGATGCAGACGGACCTTCCATACCTGCTGCTGACGTCTCTTGATTCGTATATTGGCGAGAGAGTGTGGTGACGACCCACGCTCGGCGCCCAGTACTCGATGTGGGGAGAGCGGTGAATCAGCTCCTCTCTCGATAGACCTGAACGGAGAAGATACGTATAATAAATATATTACTCTCACACAATTTTTGCCTACTGCGTAGTAAACATGGAGTTTTGTGGGCTGGGAAAATCAATGTTCGGTCCAGGGCAATATTTTCTACGTACATGAGTTACGTTGGGTTGTAGGAACGGGCAACACATTTCGTTGCGCCATTAGAATATACATGCGTACCACACATCCTTTCGTTTCGGTGCGTCGAGCTCAAATATACTTCCAATGCTTCAAACATTACGGCAAGGTATGGGAAACAAACGACCCAACAGGTATTGCGCTCGTTAAAATTCAGCTGCAGGGAGCTACAGAAACGGCATTTCACAGCGCTTCATTCAATACCACTTCGCAGCATTTCGCAGCATTTCATTCAATACCACTTTCAATTCAGCACTGCGGTTATAAGTCAATGCACCATCTAGTCCATACACGGATACATGATGTAGCGCACGCCCACTGATTGATGTGCCTCTTGGTGGCGTAGTTTTCGTATATATGCAAAACCCCTCATCAAACGCAGCAAGAAACATCTAAATTATGCAGATCACGGAGAAACGATTTGACAGTTACTTGAGAGTAGTTCACGAAAAACTCCAATTCTACGCAACCGCCTGGGTTAATCATCATGGGTGTTCATGCACCAACTAGCACTAGTGATACACTAGACACAGAGAGGCAGAGGTGTACTGAACACTACGCGCCTGTGGAACCACTCTATACGCAGTCAGTTAATCCAAGAACGGTTACTAACCTGATGCGTTAAAGAAAGGTGGTGCGCCCGTGTCACGAGTGATATTTACCTGGGCAACAAGTTCTGCTATTTGGTGACAGTGTGCCGACAAGTCATTAGCAAAAGTCTTTAGTTTATTTTGCACATGCACGCTTTGTTCGGCGGGGACAGCAATTGCATGAGACAAACAACGACACTTATTAGGCCTTGTTAGCCACCTGCCGCCCGCCATTCCTGTAGACCGTGTAAGATTTCTGTCCCTGCTACTCATGAAGGCGTCGGCATCTAACATGTATGGTTTATTGTATAAACCCGAAACACTGTAACTCGTAGGTTCATTCTCACCCTCCATATGCATGTGTTGCATCGAAGTACGGCGTTGACGAGCATATACTCAGCAACGATCAGTTAGTTAGTGACAACGACAGTTTATTCTAAACACAGACAAAAATGCACAGTTCAAGTTACAATGTACGCCGTATTACACATGTTTTTCAACTCGTATCTAGGACAGAAAGAGAATGCAGCAATTACGAAACACTGGAAGTGGAATTCAAATAACTTTTTTGAAGAACACATACGCTTTTCAGGTAAATTGATGGTGTCATATGATTAAGGGAGAATCATAGACGAAAACATAATCAACGAAACGAGAATCATAGTTTGAATATATTTATTCACATATTGATAGAATATTTACAAATTGAAAACTATGCAAAACGCTGTTAAAACAGTGTCATACTCTTCTTTATTATGTACTCTTGATATATATATATATATATATATATATATATATATATATATATATATATATCCATATTATACTCATATATGCATGTATGCATGCGTGCTTGTGTGCGTGCGAGTGCGCGTGTTGTGTGTGTGTGTGTGCCTGTGTGCGTGCATACGTACGTGCGTGTGTGCAGATACTATCAAGAGCTAATAATACCTATTATAAATTATATATTAATAATAGGTATTATTAGCTCTTGATACTCCTGATACTATATATCAGATAGTATCCTGATAGTATACATGCCAGAGAGCTGCCAATTTAATCTGATACTTCAGTGGAGGTTTAGCCAAGCGCAGCCGGGCACAGTGTGCTAGAGGGGGACAGGGTCACGCGCACCGGAACATTATTATCAAATTCAGAATGTTTAGACTGCAGTATCCTGCCCTTCCGGGATGACAAAGGCAGAGCGAAATTCGCGGAAATTTTGAAGTATTTGCGGCTTATCGGACTCTGGGACAGCGAGAGTAATTTTTCTTGCCCAGAACGAGATGAGCAGCGCATGCGCCTTCGCAGGACATGAGGTCAAACTCGCCAGCCGTGTTAAATCAGGAAAAATAAACGGAATCTCTCTTCTACCCTTTCTCTCTCTCTCTCTTTCTCACCCCTCTCTCTCTCTATAGACTACATCTCTCTCCCTCTCTATATATATATCTCTCCCTCCCTGCTCTCTGTCTATCTCTCTCTCTCTCTCTCTCTCTCTCTCTCTCTCTCTCTCTCTCTGCCTCTGTCTCTTTCTCTCTGTGTCTGTCCGTGTCTCTCTAGCCCCCTCTCTCTTTCTCCTCTCTCATCTTTCTCTCTCTTTCGATGTATCTCTCTCACTCACCCTTCCCCTCGTCTCTGTCTCTCGAATGAAGCAAATTTGGCAAAATGCCTCACTCGAGGACATAACAGCAGCGACCAAGGCGAGATCCGAACCCGATCGACCCATCTGTCTGAGTCATTTAAGGCCACCGTTTTTGTATGAGTTCAAAAGCGAAATTACCAGCTGAGTTTGGCCTGAACCACGAACCCAAGTGAATTTGGAGGTTAGCCCCTATCTATAACTACCGACAATGGGACAAACCTAGAGAAAACCTCTCTCGGCAGCGTACATGAAGCGTGCGAATTGCGAAACAGCGAAGACGGAAAAACATTCGGAAAAGCGATATGAGCAGAATAATTGTCGAAGACGCAGCCGCAGCAATCGGACTGTAGTAAAACTGGCAATAATGGGGGCACAATTCACATGCCCTCTTATACCTAAATATTCCCCTACGACGACACCCTGCAGTGCTCCTATGACTACAGACCCATTAACGCGCCTGTACATGCCCCAATCATCGCCTGCCTTCTCTAAGGATCGAGTACGCACAGCTTGCTCGCCCTGATATGGGTCGCTAATGTTTGCAGGCACTAGTACGGAGATCCTGCATCATTCTAAGACTATAATTGACACTGTTTTTGTGTATTGTATGTCAGACACACGCGCGCGTGTGTGTGTGTGTGTGTGAGTAGATGAATGACGCGGGGAACGCCGGAGCGTGACAAGGTTGCACGCCCGAAAAATGGGCGACGCCCGTGTATAGAGGGAGAGAGTGGGGGAAAGAGAGGGCAGAGGGGGTGCGAGGGGAGAGAGTGGGGGAGAGGGTGGGGAGAGAGGGGGAGAGGGGAGAGAGTGGGGAGAGAAGGGGAGAGAGGGGGAGAGGGGGAGAGAGGAAGAGAGGGAGAGAGGGGAGAGAGTGGGGAGAGAGGGGGAGAGAGGGGGAGAAGGGGCACAGTGGGGGGGAGAGGGCGGGTGGAGAGAGACAGAGCGGGAGAATGTGCGACACACACACACACACACACTGTGGCACACACACACACACACACACACACACACACACACACACACACACACACACACACACACACACACACACACACACACACACACACACACAC